TAATGAGTATTTTCTGTAAAAATAATACCCGCTATAGCTTTTAAGTGTACTAAGATAGCGAAAATACGCTAGGCAAAATATTAGTACTTATGAAAATTTAAAACAACTATTCCATAATTGAATTATCATAAGAGTATAGGTTACTAATATTGAAGAAAACAATGGATATTTAACTGTTTAATATAACAAACCTACATATTTATCTTTTTTAACTATCTATTTATACTTATTTTTGAATAACTTAACTAAACTTTATATTTTAGTTAACAAGCATTTACCTAGGTTATACCTGTATTAATTTATATAATATTATGTTATGCACAAAAGTTTACTATTGGAAAATTTGCATAATATATTTCATGGTCAAAGCAATAAAAAACTGCTCGGACGATCCTGGAAAATAAAATGCAATTTTAAATTTAGTGAGCCAATGAGCATATTTATATACATACTTTTTGAAAGTTTTTCAAATGGTTTTAAATCTCTAAATAAACATTTTTTTTTTCATATTTCCTGGTCCATGTTAGTTTGTTGTTCTTAAATCTGGATTTAAGTAAAATAAAAAAAGGTTCATTTAAAAATTAATCAATTTATAAAAACATGTAAATGATTAATCATGACATTATTTTCAAATATTTCAGTTACAATTTATTTAATAAGAATTATTTAAGAAACATAATTATTATAAAATAATTATCATCAGTTTCATCCTCCTTTTAGGTCTTGTATGTTTATGAGCTTTAAATATTTATTTGAGTTTAGTTTGATATTTTGGAATTCCTATACTTAATGTAAAAAGTGGTTGAAATAAATTTGAGTTAATCTTTAAAAAATATATTTTTAAAAACGAAAAAATGTATTTAAATATTTATCAAGTATATTTGAATGACTATTTAAATTTTAAATTGTGTATGACAAATAATTGTTTATATTATTTGCAACTCTTTGACACAAACATGAAACGATAATATACTTGGTTTTTCAATTAGATGACTCTCGACTTTATCTTGGCGATCGAATCATCCCTTGACAAAAAAATAAAGACACTTATTATTATTTTATTCAGCGTCATCATTTGAGGGGGTGATTCTTTCAATTTGGGTATCTACTTTCTTGTATCTGTCGTGGGTTCGCATAAAAATATAAAATATAACACAGTCGTTTGCATGTCAAACAAAATATTGACGATGTGCAATCATCGTTTAAAAAAAAAGTTTGTACAACGTACCTAAACAAATAGAAGGCTGTACAAACCTGGCTGTAAAAATAATGAGTTTTGTATTGTGTTGGAATTAAGTTTTTTATTCTAATTTACGAGTTCTTAACACTCGCCAGACAAAAAACTAAGTCCAATAAAAGAAAACGAAGATGTAGTAAAATATATTAAAATCATTTTTAAGTATGGTGTACAACTTGTCTAGTTGTCTACTAAATAATGGGAAAAATGATCATTGAAAAACGGATCCTATTTATGTGTTTCCTTTTATTGAACATCTGAAGCTATGCCCCTGCTGCAAATAATACAATTAATATAATGTGGTTTTGTCAAAATATTTGAACATGAATTTCTAAAATATGACAAACATTTAATTTTGGGGTAAAATATTTAATTACTTTACAAACAATTGTAATTTGAACAAGTCGAGTTAATTAACGAATTTCTGGATGATAGAATATTTTTGGCTAAATCTTTATGAGGGTATGTAAACAGGAAATACCAGGTCAAATAATTTCTAATTTTATTTATTCATTACTGTAAATATTTTATAATTAAATTCATTAAAGCTATTCACTATGTTACATTAATCAATATTCGCCAAAGTAGAAATACTTAATATAGTAAATATAGGTAGATAGTCAGTTTGAATATTATTTTAATTCTAATTTATTATTTATTATTTTATTAAATAATTGATATTTTTACCCCGTGTCAAAACAATTTGGGTTATTTTAATATTTGTGTATGTTATACAAATATTATGATTATTTCTGTTGCCAAATAACTGCTAAGTACCTACTCTTAAACGGTATTTAATTAAGTTGTAATTTTCATCCTTGGATGTAAAAAAACCTGGGTCGCTACATAACCGCTCTTCTGTATGTACAAGAGGCGATTAGTTAGTATTAATTAGTAGATCACTGTATATTTTAATGGACTACAACTTTGATTATTTGAATTTGATGATAAATGATGGGATATCAAAAATGATTTAATTAAATTAAATATTAAAATTTTTTTTGAGGCAATACAGACTTACTATTGAACGGCATGAGTAATTTCCTGTATGAATAGGAAATAATTTAACATTAATTTTACTATTTTAAAAATGTCATTGTGTATAGGGAAATATAATAATATACTTAAAATTTTAAGTCCTGACGAATAATATTTTTAAATTACAACAAAATAACCAACATCATTATTCTACGTTTAAAAATCTAATTTCGTCAAAATATGAACTTAAATGTCAATACAAAATATTGCGCATAACAGAAAATATGTCGATATCGATAATTGAAGTATTTTTATTGCTCAAAAAGGGATGACGGAAAAATAATAATAATAAAAAAAACACATCATTGTAAAGTCAATACATTCATCACACTCCGCTTAGGCTCTAAAATAACTAATAAGTTAGTATAAGTTTCTTTATTTTAAGTCTCAATAATTATTCTCATTAACACCATATAATATTATTATTTCAATTTATCATTATTAATTATTAGGATGTATTTTAATATTTAAAAATGTTTATTAGTAAATATTAATAATTATAAACATAAACAATTCGATTAAAATATTATAAAAATAATATTATATTTTGATATTAATACTAAAATTTAACAAATATAAGGGTGAATGTGATAATCGAAATAAAAAATGTTATTGCTTGTATTTTAAATTGTTTGAAAAAATAAATGTTTAAAAAATGTTACGACTTTATGACTCTTCATTCTGAGATAGTCTTTCTGTATTAATCTAGTATCATATACCGGGCCAATCCATTTATTATAGTTACCTACTTTAATACTTACAATGTAAATCACCTCGATTCACAATTTATTGCACAGTTATCTGACATTTTTAGGTATTATGTAATTTGTACTGCTAATGAATATAACGTTAAAAATTATAAGCTATAATAAATGCTATTGTGATGGGACGTGCCGGATTCGGGGTTGGCGAGTGGTGGTTGTTACCCCAGATGGGAAGTGAGCCGCCTCTTTGACAGACGTTTGCAAATTTAAATATTTCATTTTGTTCAAAATAATTATAAAACTGTCGTTTAAGACTGTATTTGTTAGAAAATTGACTGCATAGGTATTTTAATTGTATTATGAAAGTTAATCGATAAAAGTAAAAACAAAAATAAGTATTTACGACTTGGGTGTCACTGTAGTTGCCGCTGGCCAAGGTAGTACTACGGTTTATGTACTACAGGTTTATTTTATCAATTTTGTGCTGTAATAATAATAAGAAGTCGTCGAACGTTTTTACAACGAATAGAAAAATATGTCATTTATATCAAAAATGACTGCTTGTCTGTCGAATAAAAAATTGCACATATAAAAATAAGACACGTTACGTTGCAGTTAGGAATACAAAATAATTTTTTACTGATTATTGGACTCTAGAAATATATATTTTTATTATTTTTACTGTTTTTAGTTTTCTATATTTAATTATATTTTAAAAATAAATTGAACTCATTTATCTCCAACAAATGTACAATTATAGACCTACCCGTTAAGTATAGATGTATTGCCGTTAAATGTATTGCTGTTCTTACCTCAATTAACTGTATTAATACTATTACAAGTAAAAGACGTAATACAGTTGGTATTATTTTGTATAGTAAAACTTATGATTACAATTTTTTTTTAAACTTAAAAACGTAAAAATAAAAAATTTCAGTTTTTTTATTATAACATGGAGCTTTCCTTTTTTTCTATTCGGAATTCTATAAAATTATTTTATTTAACACTTTTCGTAAAAATAGGTATCAAATTAAATCTAAACACGTTATGTTGCTACATGTATTAAGGTGGCTGCAAAATTAACAGTAAAGTGTGTTATGACTATAAATTCTACTTTATCGTTTATGCACTAAAAACAACTATAAAAAAGAATTCATATTATGCACTTGACCTTATACATTTGGTACTGAGTAATAAGTATGGCGAGTGAAATAATTCAATATCTATCAGCTATTTATTGATATTGAATAAAATGTAAACGCAGTAGTAAAGAAGTCACTGATTATCTTTCTTTTTTTTATATGAGTATTTTAATATACTCTTGTATATTAGATAAAAATACAAAATACTATATACTTGGAAGATTTTTTTTCGAAATAACACTTTATTTTATATAATTTGAGAAACAGCCTAAATCTTTATTTGATACGAACAAAGAAGAATTAATTTTGGATGAACTACTTTGATGGTAGAATTTTGTTGTATAAAAAAGTGATTATTATTTATAGTTTTAATTTAAATGTATGGACAGACCACAACCGTGGATACTGAGTTTTAGTTGCTCGCGTAGTCACAGAATAGTGCTTATGTTATGACAAATTTGAAATCCATGATGAATCATCTCGCCGAAAAGCGATTTTTCGTTTCCGATGTATTTTTTTTTTAAACATTTCTCAACGGTTGTCAGCAGTTTTTCTATGCGCTTAGAGAGACTGTTAAAGAATACGAAAAATGACCTCTTGACTCAATTTCTAATCGATGATTGGGTCACTTCATGTTGACTCAGATGAAACTCCTTTTACCAAAAAAATAGAAAATAATGCATAAAAACAATGTCTTAAGAGATATTATCATTGTTATGAAATTATATTTTTTAGAGTTTAAAAAGATTAAATTAAATGTTCCTCGATTTTGATCTAACTTGATAAAAACTAGATGATTGTAAAAGTAATGAATATTTTACCATTACAAATAATTATTTATAACTCATGCGACCAATTAAAATTTTGATTTTGTTTCAGGTGATTAGAACGATACGAAGATGATAGTGATTTTAAAATGATTTTTGAGTATTTCTTCTGTAAACTAAATTAAATTTTTTAAAAATTAAAAAGTGCGATTATAAACTTTTGTGTCGTATCGAGGATATAGTTTTAAATAGAAAGTGAACTATTTTAATTTCAATCATCATGTTAGAAATGCAATTAAAATTGATATCGATATGGTTGGTGACGTTTCAATGGATCTCAAATTCAGGTAAACTTATTTTATTACTTAGTTTGGTAAGTAGTTGTTATTTAAGAACAAACTTAGATTTGAGTAAAAATTTTAGAAATCTAAAAGGTCTAACTTACCTTTTATAAGCGTTGGTAAATGTATGCAAAAAATATTTATTGTATACAAATTTTTTTTTGTTTGGTGCATATTTTGTGTTATAGGAGTTTACATACATTTTTGAGGTGCACATGGCTTAAATTATTGACTGTGTTTTATATTATAATATGCTTTGTGCATAAAAATCAAAATATTACTATATAACACATTAATGTAGATATAATTCGCGTACAGTAAGCTGGTAAATCGGTTCTGAAATAAAAATAATGCACTGCATAAAACATCAAAGGTTCTCCTCTTAAGCCAATCGTTTTGAATATTTCGGTATAGTCGTTTGAGATGTCGTAAAAAAAGAAAAAAAGAAAACCGTATTTATCCACCAAGTTTGTATTCAAAAGTTTTATGCGGTCAACGGTTTTTTTTTTTGTCTCACTGGACCGGCACAATAAAAGATGTCCGCTTAGCAGTATACAAGAGAAAAACGTATTTTCTTGTTCGGCAGTTTTACTAATGGCGTTTGGAAACAAAGAAATTTCCCTAAAGGGCTTATGCGTCACGGTCGGTGAAATCCGTATTCATCTTATGCTTTTTTTTTCGTCACCCAATCTGTTTATCAATGCGAAATGAGTCCGAAATTGGTAACGTCGCTCAGCGGGTGAGTGGGACGTCGGGGAAGGGAGAAACTGGCTTTGGAGGGGTTAGAGGAGTAACGATTGAAAAGCAACCATATCCTATGGGACAAGGAAGAGCAAAATTGCATTTCTGTCCGGTCAATAAAACTTTACAACTTATTACTTCCGCAAAATCTATCCCATGTGAAATCGAAGGGAACAATCGACAATGAACTTAAAACACGTAGGCGAATAAAAAATCGAGAATAAAACCAGACCAGATTTCGGGGGATGATTTAAGACATTATTTCCAAGTGGCTAAGGTAAGGAAGTTTTTCCACTTTCTCCAATCTAACTCTTAAATAGGATGTAGGATGGGTGAACAGCTTTCGCTCTTTAAATAGGGCTCTTATTTTCTTTACATAAGCTTCAATTGTTTTCTTAGCCCTTTGAATATTCAAAGACTATAGATTTTGTGACATTTACACTACAGGAATGGTATTGATTGATGTTTTTTTGAATATTCAGAGTTTCCAAATTCATTTGATTAATTGTGTAATGGGCTTTATACCTCCATACCTTGTTTAATATTGTTTTTTTTATCATTTAATCAATACTGTTTTAATGCGAAAGAAAAATGTCTTATTCTACTTTAATATTTTGACTTGAGTGTCAAAGAATGTACTAACTTAAGAATAAAATAGGATTTCATGAAAATTAGACGGTTAATGCTATTTCAAAAGTTTTCACATTGTCTTTGAATTAATTCAACCTGGTAAAAAATATAACAGGTTATATAAAACAAAAATATTCATATTTAAAAATCTTATGGTTGGATATACATAATGTCTTATTTTCTTGGTATATGGGTGCAGAAAATTCACTTCTCTGAATTTGAATTGATTATAATAATATTATATTCGTGACATGAAGGTTTAATAAATTATCAATACTCAAATCTCGGAAAGAAATATTAATATATACTTGTATAATATAATATACTGATATTATATTAATACAATTTCGCAGTCAGTAAGATACTTTTGAAGGTTGTATATCATGTATTTTTTATACTTATGCTTGGATAATTTATTATCAATGTGTATTCCGAGAATCATATTTATCAATGAAAATATTTTGCATATTGTATTAGGGATTCTTTATTATTTAATTGACGTTCTGCATTATTTTGTTCAATTACAAATGGTTTGAATCCAGCTTAATGTTGAATTATTTATAAAATAATATTTTGTGTACTATAATTAACATTGCAATATGTCATTACTCATTATTATATTACTTTAAGGATTTTGCTGCCCCAATTTTAAATATGAAGAGTTACATTTGATTATATCGAATGATACACGAAATGGGTAATGAATAATCCAAGCCATGATAAAATATAAAATATTTAGTGGCTAAAGTTTCTCGTGAAATCTAATAATTAGCTTAATTGAACTTATTTTATAATAATAGATTAATTTTGTTTTAATTGGGTATTAATTAATCATTATTGTGATGAGTAAATCCAAGTGCCTGCCTATATTCTTTGACGTCCAGCGATATTATAATGTACGATGAATAAACAATAGTTTACAATTTGTTTGTCGATGTATAAATAAATAGGTATCAGTAAAGTGGCTTAAGAGCTAAATGCTATTAAAAAAAAAAAAATAATGCATATAATAATGATTATGTGAGCTGATGTATATTGTATAACTCGAGTTAAATACATTTTATTATTCTTGAATTGTCGTAAATCAAAACAATTAATAAACTAAATCAAAATAGATTATACTTATTAAATATTTTTATACTTTACATATAAATCTGTTTTCCACAATAGCTAACCTGCTATTATAGTCTTTGTTGACGAAAAATAAATGCTTTATCGGTTTACAAAAAATAAAATAGATCATAATTTTGCTTGTTTCTCTGTATTATATATGGCTGTAGTTTCTATTATTCTTCATCTGCAATAAAACGACTTACACCAGCTGATTTTATTGGCAAAACTTTTCGTATAACCTCATACATTTCTTGTGTAAGCATACGTATGAAATAAAGTAGGCGTGCAAGAGTTGCTTAAAAATTATTACTTCTGTTAGTTTTCTGGGAAATCAATAAACAAAACCACTTTTTCAGATAACTACGTACTTCGTATTATATACATAAATTTGCGTTTACTTCAATTTTATTGGCTATGCGGTATTTTAAATTATTTATTTAGAGCTATTTATTATTTTATTGATGCAAAGTATTATATTTAAATACTATAATATGTATGATAATATGATATTGTAATTTATAAAAATAGATCCTAAACGTTTGTTTTTAACCTATCCTTACCCAAGTGTCAGGTATAGTATTATTATTTATTTGGATTATAGATTAGTAGATGGTATGTTCCACCAATTAGAATTTTAAATTGCCACTAATAAAAATACATCAGACATGACGAGCAGTAATTCTACAATATTGCAGACATTCAATTCCATTTGTTTTTTCTATTTTTTTCTAACATTGAAGAAATCTGTGAAGTGGCCAGGAGTTTTCTTCTGTATTTGTTTTGATAGATTTGAAAAATGTTCCGGCATTTCACAAATCGATTTCAAATTAACCTATAGACTGAAATTATTTGAAACTGATTTGCAAAATATTGACAGATTCTTCGAATCGTCATACCATGTAGGGAGGCTGCTTGAAATTGCCCCCTCGAAATATTTCTAAGCTTTTAATATTTGAATGTCATATTTGCAAAATTCTAAGAGCTACCAACTAAATATGAAATTGTTTTCAACTTATCAGCAACACGTTGGCACATTTAACTAATCGACTGGATAAAGTCGGAGGCTAACTTCGTGGACATATTGCATAATATATTAGGTATATTAAATTTCGATTTTTGACTAATAAGTGATAAATGTTAATTAAAGATCTATTATTATATATTTACTAAAAAAGCAATTATAGTATACCAAAAGGCTGAACAACAGGGTTAAGTTATCTTAGCTACTAATATGATTGAACATTCAAGTATTCAAATGTACCTACTACAATAACTGAACTTCTACAATCTGGAACTAATTTAAAAGGAGCTATTTTTGCTTATTTTTTAACGTACGCTTTATTAATTTACTAGGCATGTTTAAAAACTAGGCACATATATGTTTATGACTTTACCCAATCGTTAACTGAACGATTTTTAGTATATCATTTTTTAATAAATTACACGATAGTTGAAAAATTCAATAATTTAGAGATCTATGTATCACTTAATAGAGTACCTTTAAAGGATTACAAGTTCATTGGAATTTTTATTTATAAAATATACAATTTCATAATTGATTTTCTTTCTAATGAACGTTTTCTACGTTAATTCAACCTCATTATCTGTACCTATATAAGTTGTATTAAAAGTCACCGATACGTCTGAAGATATAATTATTATATATTCAATATTGTACGTGCGTATGTATATGTGAACATATTATATTATGATTTTGTTCTAAGATAAATAATTTTAAGTATAGTACACATGAAACACTTTTCAATATTATTATTTTTTGGAAAAGACAGTTTTGTTGTTAGTTTTGTTATTTTATTTTCATGGTATTGATAATATTAAAAGTAAATTATACGCACTGCGTTTGAATAAAAACAAACATTTATAAATCAATTGAGATGACTAATTATAATTCAATTATGTGGCAGATGTTTTGAAAAATTCAAATGAGTTTATACCATTCATTGTTTTATTGCTTTTATAAAACTTCACATTTCAATGAAAAGGTTTTGTTTTTTTTTTTTATATTATAATTTTAGATGGATTATATACTAAACTATATGTGGTTCTATGGTTTTTTTTTTTGCTATGATTCAAAAAATGTCTAGATAAACTGATTATTTAAAACAAATTTGTCAGATACTGAAAAACGCTTTGATAATTTATCAAGTTTGTAAACATATTAAAACGGAAACATCAGTACCCAAACATAAGATATGAAAGCGAATGAGTTGTCCGCAGTACATTTAGTCGAGAGCGCATAATATGATAATATGATACTATTGTATCGTGTAACATGGCTCTTAGACATTATCAATCATTTTTTTTTAACCAGTCAATATTTACTTGGAGGCATGACCTTTTGATATTCGTAATATTAATAACTAGGGCGCCACATAGCTGGTGACATTTTATATAGTCTGCTCTTTTTAAAATAAAAAAACTTACTTTTTTTTGGCACGTTTAATGCGTTTGTAAAATAAATTGTCAGAATGAATTTCATCGAAAATGTCCAAAAGATACAA